ATTTAAGCATTCAAGAGACACAAATGCATGTACAAGTTAAAGTAAAAACTATGTAAAAAATATAAAACATTAAAATTTCAATTATGTGTTAAAATATTAGCTTATTGGAACTAAGCTGGAAAAATAAATATGAAGGTCAATTAAATTATAACACATGAGGTAAAGTTCTCATTTTTAACATTTGGTGCATTTTAAATGTATTTATTTATTTAAAGGTTCATTTATCTTTTTCTGCTTTTATTTCTAATTATGGCAGTTTCGGTCCTCCATACAGACTAAGCTGGAACTAAGCTTGAAAAATAAATATAAMGGTCAATTAAATTATAAAACATGAGGTAAAGTTTTCATTTTTAACTTATTTGGTGCATTTTAAATGTATTTATTTATTTAAAGGTTCATTTATCTTTTTCTGCTTTTATTTCTAATTATGGCAGTGTCGGTCCTCCATACTGCAGAACTTGGCAGAGGTAGTTCAGTGACTGTATCAGGTGTGTTGGAGCAGGGAAACATGTAAAACATGTAGGGCTGCGGCCCTCCAGGACCATGATTGCCCACCCCTGTCTTACGCTGATGTTTTCCACTTTAAGTTTTGAACAGAGTAAGGCAGCACCAGTAACAAGCAAACATCTCTTGAATTTATGGGGCAACAGAGTCAGAGAACAGATCTCTAGACCAATCACAGCTCTGGTTTGAATCATCGGAGGCGTTACTGAATCCCTCCTGACCCGCCTCAGTTTGATCATTTGCTGCTTGTGCCTCAGGTGATGTGAGAGTCGGATCCAGGAAAAGGCTTTGATAATCAACTCCATTCCTCCGATATGTTTTCCTGATCAGACCCAGATCACTGCTGCTGCTTGCAGTCCTTCGTCTCCTTCTGGACGCAGCACGCTGTGTTTTACCATCAGGAGTGGGAGCAACTACTCCTTCATCATCCTCTAAATCACAAACAGTCACATGTCCGACTCTGGAGTCCCGCTCGTGATCAGCTGCTCTCGTTGACTCGTCCTGACCACCTTGAAGCTGGTTTTTATGCTCCTCTGATTTCCTGAACCTCCTTCCTGAAGCAGATCTGTTGGATCTCCTGCTCCACGCCAGCATTTTTATAGAAATCTCGCCCGTCACGTTTCTGCGCGATGCGCTGAGCGACCGCGTCACAGCGCTCGGTTTAACGACGGGAGTGGACTGAGACGGCGGGACGAAGTCCAGATGTTCAGCTCCGTGTAAAGCTAAACTGTCTCTTTTGCTGCACTTGCTAATTTGCAGTTGCTTCTGCGGCGTTAACTGGGTGTCACTTTCAGCCCTCGGACGCTGCTGCTCGGACAGACACGTGCGCGCGGTCGACCTCACAGACTCTGCGTCCGTGTTCTCGTCGCTGAATAAATCAGCTGAGCAGTTGTAACTGTCCTCTTCAAGCTGCTCTTCTTTTTCTTCACGAGTCGAAAAAGATTTGTCGTTCTCTGAAACACGCTCGTGAGAATTAACGTTTTCGTCTTCAGGCCCGTCGTGTTCTTGAATAGATGGATCGGGTCGATCGCCTCCACCTGGTGCAGGCGTATTACTGATGTCTGACAATGTGAACGAACGGCTGCGTCTCACCCGTGTGTTTCTCTGACGAGCAGAAGTCAATCTAACTGCTGGGTTTGTGCTTTCCAGGTAAGTTCTTGCTGTCTGCTTTTCATTTTGCACATTTAAACTTGGTTTTATTTCACCCAGAGCTTCAAAATCGTTGTCCTGTTTGTGCAGAAACTCTGTGAGGCTCTCAGAAAAAGGTAAATCCTCCCACGCAGACGAGCTTGATAAAACCGATCGGGTGAGTTGACTTGTAGATGACTCCTTCTGAGGGACGCTGTAACGTTTGCGGACAGGTTGGAATGGACTAAAACACGAGTTCACGCTGAAGCTGTTCCCAACCGTTGCTCCAAAATACAGGTTTGGATATCCAACAAATGGACTGTTGTTAAGACTCTGCTCTGACCGGAGAAGAGAAGTTCTTTCTTCTGCTACTTTATGCTTTTCCAGCTCACAGAGCGGCGTTTTGCTGTTTTCCGCGTGTCCACCATCCTGTGCACTGCAGCCCTCCTCCTCCTCCTCCTGCTCTGCCGATGATGTCACAACTCCGAGAGATTGTTCCCACGGAGGAGTGGGAGTGAGTGAAAGGTCCAGGTTTTGCGGTCTAGGATGGAAATAAAGGCAGTTGTCAAATTACGACGCAAAAGTGAATTTTCTTTTCTTTGATGTGTGAGGTTAAGACAAAACGCCGACGTTGCATTAAAATAATGTGATTTTTTTAAAATGGTTAGTGCAGTTTTCAGAACTAGAATTTACTTTCAAGAAAATCACCAGGCTTGATACAGACGGTTGTGTTTTTGTTTCCCCACCTGAGCTGTGACTGGGAGAGAAGACCCGAGGCCCACGGAGGAGCGGTACTGAAACTGCTGCTGGTACCAGGATCGAGCAGCAGAGGTGCAGCCGGATCAGCGGACCCCTCTTCGTATTCTGAAGCTTTCTGAAGGAGAGCCTGATAATAGCTGAGCACAGTGCAGCCAGACAGGCCCGAGGCTTTAGGAAGAATCATTTGACTGGCAACAAACTGGGCCGTCTCTCTGCTGCTGGGGTCATTAGAGTCAGGACCTCCAAACCAAGGTCCACTTTCTGTTCCAGTCAGCTAAAGGAGACAGATGAATACAAACAGAGCTGAAATAACATTACAGACTAATGGTGACATGCTAATTTACTTACCATAGAGTATCATTTCATCTTTCACTTCTAAATCCAGGGTTCATGCAGGTTTCAGTAAGTTCAATTTAAGACCTTTTAAGACCATTAGTAACAACATTTAAGACCAAATTGATGCATCAACAGAAATATTCAAATGGTCCCAGAAATTTTACAATAGAAACCTTTTTATTGCTATCAGTTTATTTATTAAAAGGGAAATAAAGTAAAATCAATTTTTTGAGTTTTATATCATGTTATAATGTTATACTCTCATAAAAAACATGCCCAAAGCC